AACAGCAACAGCAGCAACAGCAGCAGCCTGGTTTTCGACACAGAACTCTCCCCAGGAGCGCACAATGTGCTGATGCTGCTGCTGCTGCTGCTGTTTGTTGCTTGGCTGCTAAATGTGCTGCCGCGCATGATATCTTTGCTGCACATTAGAAAGCATCTGGAGCTGCAGCCGGTGGGTGGCTCTTGCTGCTGTTGCTGCTGCTGCTGCGCTGCTGCTGCTGCGCTCCTGCTGCTGCAAGGCCTTCTGCTGCTGCTGCTGCTTCGGCTGGCGCTGCAGGTTGTGTCAGCAGCCGGCATTGCTGCTGCTGTTGCTGCTGGTGCTCAGGAAGCTTTGCTGCTGTCAGGGTTTGGCTGTTACCGCTCCGAGCTGCAGCAGCTAATGCGCATTCACTTCAATAAGCTGCTGCAGCACAACAAGCCTGCTGCTGCTGCTGCTATGCCCCTTGTGGAAGTAAAGGCTTTTGCCTATGACCCCCTGCCACTGAACCAAGGGGAGTTGGAGGAGGCGCAGCAGCAGCAGCAGCAGCAACACGAGCTGCTGCTGCTGCACCAAGTGGATGCTGCTCCTCACAGCAGCAGCAGCAGCCACGGCGGGTTCTTCGCTCCTGCTGCGGGCAGCTACAGCAGCAGCAGCAGCCACCGCAGGGAGCGCAGCAGCAGCAGCAGCAGCAGCACCTCGCAGCAGCGAGAGGCGCTGCTGAACACCCCGTCCGCTGCATCTGCTGCTGCTGCTGCTGCAAGCGCTGCAGCCACTGCAGCAGCAGCAGCTACCGCTGCTGCGCTGGCAGGCGGGGGCTTTGAGGTGTCCGTTGATGCTGCAGCAGCAGCAGCTGTTAGGGTTTACTGGGGAGTTGGAGAGAAGGCCATGGACGCATTTGTAAACCCTAAACCCCCACAAACCCTAAACCCCAAACCCTAAACCCTAAACCCTTAAAATCGCACAAACCGCACCTGAGTCCTCAGCAGCTTATATGGCAGCGAGTGGCTAGGATTTGCAGGAGCCAGCAGAGGCTGAGGGTTCAGGGTTTAGGGTTTAGGGTTTAGGGTTTAGGGTTTAGGGTTTAGGGTTTGACTGGGTTTGTGCTGAACAGCTGAAGGGCAGCAGCAGCAGCGCTGAAGACTCGCTGCTGTCTGGCTCTGCCCGGCGCCTCGCGCGTTTTCTGCCCAGCAGCAGAAGCAGCAGCAGCAGCAGCAGCAGCAGCAGCAGCCGTAAGCAGCAGCAGCGC